CTCCTGGAAGCAATATTACCTAGACATAGGAATAGGAGAATCGGTTGTCGTTAAGCTTCTGTGCGAATGTAATGCATAATTAATTGCTAGGGAGACAAGACATTGTGAACTAATAATGAGGAGTAGGCTTTCTTCACCGAGACATCGGGTTTAAGGTAAATTAGAAAGTGGCATTAACATTAATGAAAAAGATGAATTCATATATGCATGAGAGTAAATTAGGTGAAATCTAAACCCAATAACAATATCATCAACTTCATCCATTCATTCTTGTGTTTAGCTTCAATTGATCAAATTGCATTCATGTTTATTTTATTGCATTTACATCTAAAAATCCCAAAATTTGTTCTTTAGAGTCTTAATTAGTTGAGTAATCACATAAATATTTAGTGACATGAGTCTCTTGAGAAAAGATACATGGTCTTACCATTTATTATTACTTGATACGATTCGGTACACTTACTAACGTCCTAACAAGGTTTTGACTCCACTTTCGGGGATTAAAACTTTTTTTATCAATCATATTAACTAATTCAATATATGTGAGAGACAACAAGAACCAAAGCACAAGGAATAAGTTCTCAAAATAAAATCCCCCATCTATTATCTCGTGGTGGGTATAGGAAGCTTGAGGAGAAAATCCTCAAGCAAAAGACAGAAGGTACACCCTCATTTGAGGGTTGTATCCCCCAGCCTCCTTCTCCACCTTCTCGGCATGAGAAGTGGAAGTTGGCTCATTTAAGATGATTGGGCGCCTTCTTTGACTTATTTTGGTCAGGCTCATGGTTAAATTTCACATGAATGACTTCTTTAACTCTCAAGGTTCTAGAGTTATAAACTCTAAATCCTCTTGATGTTTCAGAGTAACCAAGCATGATCCCTTCATTACTACGAGAAGTCAAATTTTCTTAAGTTATCCTCGGTGTTTAGAATAAAACATTGACAACCAAAAGGATGAAAATAAGAAATATTTGGCCTTTTGTCTTTCAATAACTCATAGGGTGTTTTGTTTAGAATTAGCCTGATGTAAACTCTGATTTGAATATAGCAAGCAATGTTAACTGCTTCTGCCCAAAAGCTTTTAGAAGTGTTAAAAGCATTCAACATAATTCTGGCCATTTCTTACAAAGATCTATTTTTCCTCTCAACAACTCCATTTTGTTATGGAGTTCTTGGAGTTGAGAAATTATGTTTGATGCTATAGTTTTCGCAAAAGTTTTCGAAAAGTTCATTTTCAAATTCTCCTCCATAATCACTTCGAGTAGACATAATTTTCAAATCCTTTTCAGTCTTTATCCTTTTACAAAGTTCTCCAAAAGTGTTAAAAGCCTAGTCCTTATGAGTTATTAACAAAACATAAGTCCACCTAGAAAAATTATCTACAACTACCAATCCATAGCGTTTACCATTCATTGACTCAATTCTTGTATGTCCAAACAAATATACATGTAGTAGCTCAAGAGGTCGTTTGGTCAAAACCATGTTTTTGCTTTTAAAAGATTCTTTGACTTGTTTGCCCTTCATGCAAGCACTATAAAAGACTATGTCATTGAATGATACAACTGGCAGTCCTCTAACGAGATCATGGCATTACAACTTTGAGATTAATCTCATGCGTTGATAGGGGAGCTATGTAAAGCTGAACCCATATCTTACATATGAGTTTTTGATGATGACAACATAAATGTTTTATAGTTTCTTCCACACATATGGCAAAATTGTTGCTTGATTATATTTGTATATGTGCTTGAACTATCTGTGTTATGCATTCATTGTTTACAAATAAATGTTTGGTGAAAACACTTTACACATTGCATATCTGTATGAATTAACCGATTACAAAATTTGCATAATCTGTTAGATTCATCAAATATCAGTACATGCTTAACAGTGACAAAACATCAAGTTTTAACCGATTACATTATGGGTATAATTGATTAAAACTCATAGTTATGCCTGCACATGTTTACTAAGTGCAATGATGCATTTGGAACTTGACCGATTACACTAATTTCTTAATTCTTTAAATTTTGCTTTGATTGAAAACCTTTTTCAAGAATAACCATAACTGTCACAATGGTCATTTTTCTAAATACTATGACATATATGGTTTGGTTAATCGATTACATGCTCTACTTAATCTATTAAATGCTGAAAATGTAAATTTGTTAATGCACAAGGAACTGCTTAACTGATTACATTAATAGCGCAATCGATTAAATTGTGTCGGAGTTGTGAAAATCTATAAATAGACTCATTACTTCTATTTTCAACAACTTTTAATGAATCATATCTTTAATATCTGACATTGAGATTTATTATAGGAGCGTCCTACTCTTTTCAAGAATCAAGAATTCATACATTTGGATATTTTTCATCAAGATTCTTTGAAGAATTGAAGAGCTTACATTGGCTGTTCACTTTCTTCATATCAAGGTGTAATGTACCAGATCAATTTTCTTTTGCAATCAAGTCTGATTGTTGTTCCCTATTGCTGCGGCTAGGAAGAAGGACTCAGAGGAGTTCTTGTGACTTAGTGAGGTATCTCTAAGGGTTGACAGAAAGAGGATTGTTCTTTTTGGGTGTATTTGCTATAGTTGATTAGAGTTAAGAGAAGAGTATATTGAGAGGGTTGTCCCTGTATCTTGCTTGTAAGAATTCAATCAATATAGTGGAATCCTTTCAATCTAAGGTTGATTGAAAGAAAACTGGATGTAGACTTGGCCGAACCAGTATATATCGTTGTGTGAATCCACTAATGCAGTTAGAGGCAATGGCACCGGTTACTTTTGCCTATAGGCACCGGTTCTTGACCCGAGGCAGACAAGGCAAAAAGTCTCCACTTTTATGCCTCGACTGTGAATCGAGTCAAAACGATGTAGGATTTAACATCTGTTTAAAAGGAACCGAGGCAGCATGGTCACACCGCCGACCACCACCACAAGATCGCATATCTTAGCCATAGCAATCGAAAGCCATATACAAAACCCATATCTCAGCCATCAATGTTAACCAAAATTACCAGATTAAAACACCATAAAAGGAAAAACCCCGAATTAGATCTCAAATTGTAGATTAAAACACCAAAATTACCAGATTAAAACACAAAAATTACTAGATTGAAACCCTACATCTCAAATCGGGAAGAAATCAGATCATCAGTTCATCAAAAACAGAAACCCCAAAAATTTAAGAACAACCTAAACCCTAAATCGTAGAATCAGCACCACCTAAACCACAGTTCCGTTTTTGAAGCTGCCTTCACCGGATACCTAGCCATTCACCCTCGTCGTCGTCGTTGGAGGTCACTCGCGACATGTCTTTGTCGGTTTCTCTCACTGTGCAGTGAAGCAACAACGGAAAAGAGAAAGGGAACCTCCCTTTGCACCGCGAATCAGGACGACCAACGTCCTCTACGAAAGGCTTGCTCAAATTAAACGTGAACAATTAAATATGACGGTAAAGTTGAAGGGAAACTAGTCTACAAAGAATGAACACACAAACCAAATTAAAGCTGCATTGAGATCTTAAGTTTCATGTCATTACTGTTCCGTTTTAATTCTATTTTCCTTCACTAAAGTGTATAGCTTCTTGTGTTCAAGTTATTTCTGAAACCATGATGCCAAACTTAAGATTTTTTTCTTTGAAATTTAATTTTGTCCTAAGCATGAACGCTTGTATTCTATTGTTTAAACTTGAATCAACTCTACTCAACAGTTTCCGCTTATAGCATTCATTTTAAATTGAAGAGCGCCAAATGAAAAACACTTATCTTAGAAACCTATGGACCTATGATGCCATTCATGAAACAGTTAAGCTATACATTTTCAACTTCACAACCTAGAGAGTGTAGGACAATACACCACACGTGGAATAAGATAAATTGAAATGAATGATGCAACTAATATGCAAGAGGTACTAAATTCATGTATTTACCAAAATTAAATAGACAAAATGCATGAATGCACAAGACATTTTATTGAAAGAAGCACATAGTTGAACAAAACACAAAATTCACTAGAAATCACAATCCCCCGAATCAATTGAACCAGCATCGAAACTCAACATGTACAAATAAGCAGATTGTCATCAAAACCTAGGTTCTAGATACCAAATGATAAGTATGGGTTTTGGATGCTAGTTCTACCACTGGGTGCGAAATGGTTGCTTATTTTGAGTGTCACTCCACTCTTCATGCACCTTCTTCCATAATTAGGCTCTCATCACTAAGCTAAAAGTATGAAAATAATTAAGTTAAAAATAATTGAGGTTGATGCTGCAAATAACTAGGATGATCACACAACTTGAGTTGGGAAATTTCTTCATTTGTTCCTAAGCCATTCCAAGCACCTTAAGCTACTCTTTTAGCTATTCCAGATCGAATTTTTGGTGGATTTTTTTATTATTTTTTTTAGAGGATGACATAATTAAATATTAAATAAAAATGATGAGATTAGATTTTAATTACTTTTAGAGGAAAAAAAACTAAAAAATAATTTAAGGGTGAATAAGTTTTAGTTTTGTAATATTAATTTTGTAATAGAATTTGAAATAAAATTTCTGATCAGTATAATATTGTAGAAAAAAATGAGTGAGAAATAAAAAATAAATTTAAAATTTTAGAACATTAATAATTTTCTTAAGTTTTTCTCCCCATTTAAAAAAAATAAAAACAAAAACAGAACACTCTAAACATGTTCATTAAGAATTTGATGTTTAAATATGTATTATTTAAAAAAAAATGCACTTTGTTGTCCCGTGATTTTGTTTTTTATGAAAAAAAATAAGAGACCTAAACCTTTTACCCACGTTACTTGATCTTAGTTGTGCACGTATTTTGCATTTCACAAACAAAGCACTTGCAAACCTCAAATTCAGTTGGTATATTGGTTTCACTTTTAGACGCAAATGTTAGCTGAAAGCTAATGCAAAGAACTGATGAAACTGATGAAACCTCATGCAACCTATATAAATATACAACGTTGTTGTCTTTCTCATAAATATCAACCAAGAGAATCATAACAAGATGGGATCCTTTGGCAAACCCCTTTTGTTTCTCCTTTTTGTCATGGCTACCTGTGATCCTGCTACATCCACAAACTCAAACTCTACCACACAGACATTATTATTAGGAGAACGGAACGGCTCTGTCGATTATTTGTTATTGCACACCGTACATGTGCGTATAGTCAACAAGCTTGGTCACAACTTACCTCTCAGTGTTCATTGCAAATCCAGAGATGACGATCTTCAGGTTCATGTCATTAACTATGATAAAAGTTTTGGGTTTCACTTCCGTCCTAATTTTTGGGGCACAACGTTGTTCTTCTGTCACTTTTCATGGAGTGGGGGACAAGGGACCTATGATATCTATAAGGATAGGAGGGATAATGATAGGTGCACATTTCACTGTGATTGGTATGCCACCAAAGAAGGTTTAGAAGGCTATACAGAAGAGAGTTCGTTTTTAGGCAGGCCACACAAGCGAGACATATTGTTCCAGTGGGAAAATCCATGACTACAAAACTTTCTAAGAGTGGAGAAATAAAGGATGTTAAATTATGTGATCACAAAATCCATCATCCATGCCAATAAATATCTCATGTTTACATGTGTTGTATGTTTCAAATATTTAATATAATTTCAAATATAAATAAATAAATAAAATATCCTGTTACTTATATTTAACTTTATAGGTAATGTTGTTTCTGGGTGGATAATTTTTAACTTTATTATATTTATTTTAGTTTAATAGTATTTATTGCTATTATGTTTGCCTATTTGATCCAGATTGTTTTCCTGCCGTCCTGCCCCAGTCCCATAGAAATTCTTTTAGATTCTTATACATTGAGAGATAATAAAAAAAGGTAGATAAATGATAACTGATTTAGAAATATGAGTTTGAATAGAGTTAACAGAACAATATGAGTTTGAATTGAGTTAATAAAACACTTTTGAAAAACATCATAGTAACGAATGAATTTGGTGATCGGTAGTGAAAGTTCAAGACAACATCATAGTATTATCAACATATAACATACACAAGTTTTATGGATGACACTGCTCAACATATCTCCTTGTTGTTCAAAATTCATATATATCAACAAAATATTACTGTCCACAGATTATGATATATTCACACAAGAAATATATACACATGGTCAAAGGACCTTTATTGATCAATAATCTTGACTGTCACTGTAAAATCTAATTGTCAAGATTTGATCTTACTGCAAAACATATGTAGCCGAAATGAAAAAGAAAAACATTTCTCTTTAATGATGTTGCAGAAACACATGTAATGGCACAAATGACCTGCTAACTCTTCCCTCAATTAATCAAGAAACAACCTAATACGATTGGTAATCTTCATTCGACATATATGGCACTTGCGAATTTTTGATCCACACTCCAAACATGTCTGCATTTGAACCATTTACCAACCATCATTGCATGTAAATAAAACATGGAAAATGGTAGTGTTTTTCTGAGTTTACCATGTGTCCACAACCAAAGGCCATGTTTTTCTCATTGGTTAGGCAAATCGAACAACCCTACATAATCATTTTAGAAATAACTTCAGTTCTCTTCAGCAAGCTTTCCATGACAGAAGTATCACTTTCTGAATGTTTCTTATCAGCAAAATATATTATATTAAATTTGTACAAGTACCATGAAATAAGTTACAAAGGTGGTGAGTAATTCTTGTGCGAAGAAGGTGATGAATGGGGTATATGAAGAAAACAAATTCTATTATCATTACAAGTTCACTTTATTTTTCTAATTACCTGTCTTGTAGTGGATAGGTTTCTGCTCAAACTTATTGGCTGGGACACCTGTATAAACAAGAAATCTCAAACCTCCAAATCCATGCAAAAATTAGTACGAAAATATATATATATATATATATATATATATATATATAATCAAGCAAAAACATTGTTTTATGATATATATAATTCAACTCAAATAGAATAACACAAACACAAACAAATACCTCAGCACCAGCAGCATATTCAATAGTTGGAATTTCACTGGAAGCACTGACTAACTTCTGCCTTGTGTCTTCTGTTACTCTCACGTGAACTTTAGACTTTTCAAGCTCCAGTGTAAGCCTTTGGACACTCTTCTTTTGTTCTTGTAGCTCAATCTTAACCTTAGCACATTCGTTCTGCAGATTTACAATTGCAATTGAATAATTACATGAAGCAAAGAACCTTAGAATTACACTGTAATTTTCCTTCAAACAATTAGTTATTTGAGGAGCTGCAATTCAGAAGATTACCTGCAGCATATGTATATATTCTTCTTGTTTTTGTCTCTCTTCAACTCCACTTTCCACTGCAATTTGCAAGCAGTGTACCCTTCGAGATAAACTGTTAACCATCTGAGTTGCTTGCTTCTCAGCATTTGACATCAATTCATTTTCATGCTTCAATATAAAAAGCTGAAAACGGAGAACAGAAACTTTTTAAATCATCAAAATATTACTGCAAATTGCACAAGCTCACTTCAAATTTTGATTTTCATGGCATATTCACCTGGTGTTCATTTTCTTTCCTGAAGCTGTAAAGTCTATCTATTGAATTCCTAGTTCTCACTTCCCATTCGTCACGCTCTGATCGTAACCATTTGTTCTCATCTCTGACAAAAACCAGAAAATATTGTTTATCAGTTTCACAACATGCTGAAGATAGAAAGTTTTTGGTTACTCATATTGTGCTATTTCTAACACTAACACAAGCTAAACTCAAATGGGACTGAAGATTTTTTGTTAGAATTCAAAGATACCACACAACCTTGTTGAATTCAAATGTAAGACTTCGAACTAAGACAAAAATTTAAGAGACAAGAAAATGATGAAGTTCCTCCCCAACTTCTTTCTATTCAAAGGAAATAATATAACTTAGATTTCATATAAGTACTGCTACAACTGTACTTAATCTTTGTCAATTCTTCTTTTAGGCTTCTCAATTGTTCTTCAACCTTCTGGGGATTCTTGGTTGCTTCCTGCATTACAATGGAAGATGTGAGATCACAACTAATCATTTCACTTTTCACACATCAAAGGTCAATTGCTAATCATACATGACACAAAGAAGTTGGAATCAGGGCCCTGGAACTGGTGTTTCCTGTTGCAAATATCAACCAAACAAAGACATAATATTAACACACTTAGCTATGATCCTGGTTAAGATTTTCAGATTAATTAACAGAAATTTGGAATGGAACAAAAATAAATAAACATATATATGATAAATCTCATAAAGACTAAGATAGACCTGAGTAAAATTCCAAGCAGAGAGGACTAGATGAATGAACATTATCTTCCACTTCATACGAATTCGCATGATTTACAACCTGTGAAGAGAAAAAGAGAATTATATACTTTAACATTCTTAACCTAGATATTAATTATATGTTTATAATTTAACAGATGTGGAATGGAATGTTTCTACCTCGAATAATGAACATATATAAATCTGTAAATTCAGTTTTCTAATTGGTTCTAGGATTTGATGAGAATCAAATAATTATTAATTAGCATTTCTTTCTTGATTGACCTAGCTACCTGATTTGAATATTCCTTCTCAACAAGACATTGAAGCTTATGCCCTGATCTCCAATCGAAATGTTGGCATGTTCTTGAGCTGAAAAAGATAACAATAAAAGTGTTGAAGCTGTAAATAAAATAACCCAGTAAATCTTTTAGAGAAAAGAAGTTACACAGTAACCTATAATAATCTAGCCATAGACTATCATATGTACCATAAATTTATTGAATTTTCTAATCAAAGTCAAACTGAAGATAATTTCACACACAGGTGAACTCTAGAAGTTATGTAGTTGACTATCATCATTTGTACGATGGCATTATTCAACCAAGCAAAGTGCTGAATCATCTTGACCAAAAGCTAGGTCATATATAGAATACTAAAATAATTATATAAAAACTTGCGTGTCATGAATTTTGTAAAAAAAATATATTTATAATATCTGACAAATGTATTAAAAATATTTTTTTTTATTTACACGAATTGTTTAAGTATATATTTTTAAAACATATCATCATTTAATAAAAAGAGTCCAAAGAGAAGGATAATTAGCATATACTTTGATAATATAAAGTCATTTTAATTTGATAAAAAAAAATTAAAGAAAAAATCAGTTGATTCATATGCAATTTTTTTTACTAATACATGAAAAATAAATTAAAAAGTAAAAGACTCATGAAAAGCTTTGAAGAAAGTTCTTTGACGACATCTGTTCATATATTTTGGATTGTTGTTACAACTTGTTTAGCGTTCCATTTAAAATATATTCAATTTAACGTTTTCATATTCATATCTATGGTAAATTGTGTATGACTCAATTGTTTTGGAGCATCATCTACTTTTAAAAGAAATAATACTCTGCATTATTTCTAGAAAAAGAAAATGTCTAATGCTGCAATTAATCATAAACAGAGATTTTATTTATTTATTTATTTGTTGAATTTGACATGGTTAGATTTTTTTATGAAAGTTAATTATCGAAATTCACCTAATTTGGATGATTAATTAAATATGTGTCAACTTTACAATTATATTATGATAAATGACGATACAAATTTACAAACTTCGGAATATTGCTTTAAGTAATATTACCTTAATTAAGACTGATTAACGATGTGATGTGAGAAACAGTGAATGTTTTTTCATAGGTTTCATATTTGTGAGTCACATTAGTTAGATTTAAAAATGATCCTTTATAATGATTAAATGTCATTTCGATTTTTTTTTTTACCAAAACTTGAATTTTAATACCAAGTTACATAAAAAAAAGATTTATGAAAATGATATCATCTAATGTTTACTATAATACTGCAAGAGTCAAATGTCATTATTAAGTTTATTCATATTTTTTTCAATAGCTATCTTGACGATGAACAACTCAATTAAGTATAAACACTACTATAATTTTAAGAATTGACGCGTAAACACAAATTCTATACATAAACAGTGAAATGAAAAAATATTAATTCAACAAGATAAGAATAATTTGGAAACAAATTTATAATTTGATTTGAAAACCCATAAACTAATTTTATGTTAAAAAAATGAGTTATAAGTTTTCAAATATTAAACAATAAATGAACAAATACAAGTGGAAAAATAAACTTCTTCTTAAAACAAAAATTGACTTTTACATTACTATTGTACTCATTTAACAACTTAGTCAAAACCCTTGACTTTATATTTTTGTGTTATCATTCAGAAAATAATTATAAAGAATTAACTTTTCTAACTAGCAGTTCCAAAATCATAGAGTAATAGTAAGTTTTAATTAAAGAATAAGTCAATCAAATATTTTATCATTTATGTCACATTGAAATAAAAAATGAATACATGATTATTTTAGGAGATCATCACAGGTATATATCTTGCTCTTTTTTTACTTGTTCTATCATGAGAATTGAAAATTTCACCCCATAATATAATTCTTTAATTAATTCAAAAACTTAACGTGTAAATTATCAAAATAAAATTCCAATTATAATAACAACACATAGGGTAATCTATCTAAACTCTTTTATTATTATTTTACACAACTTTCTTCACACTTGTGAGTTTTCAAACTAACTTGCAAAAAATATATATATTAAGACTTGGTGTTAAAACATTTATTAAATAAGATTGAAATGTGGCATCAATATTATATGTATTTGTGTAGAAAAGAATTATATGCATCATATATTAAACTCAATGAGGAATGAAACATTAACTTAAAAAACCCATGAAAACAAAGCATTGACTTCAGATGTTTTGGTTAGGTTGACTTTAGAGTAGGGTTAGGTAATAGGAAACTTACCAATATTTTATGGCTTTGCATCTTGAACACACTTTAGAGCTTGGATTTCCACACACTGCACACCCTTCATTGCCATTCACAATGCCATTTCCACACATCAATGATCTTTCATCACTATTTTCTCCTCCATCAATATAGTAAACATCTCCTTCATATATTCTCTCCTCAACTTCATTTGATAAGTGTTTTTCCTGCACATATATATAGTTAAAATCAACTTCAGAATAGGACTTTATTTTTCCTTAACAAAAATCTCAGATTTTTTAGATCTGACATGGTTGAATGAGAGACTCCACTGAATATGGTTGACCAGGTTTTTCTATGAAAGTTAGTCATTGAGAAACTGAATACACACTTAGTACTTCTAACATGGTTATCTAAGAATTATAGAAAAATAATTAGAGTCTGACATCGTATTTATAATTTTATAATCAAACCAATCATTCCCTTCCAATATTTTCTTTGGTAGGATTTCTTTAGATACACTCCAAAACTTCTGATATTTTCTTCAAAAACCCCTCAGATTATGATTTCTATATCATACTGCAAGCATCAAGAGGAAATTGATGTCAACTTGAACATATATATATACATACATAAAATGATAACATGGACTGAAAATAATTGAGGAGAAGCACCATGATAAGACATTCATGAGAAGGTGATTCTTGCTGATCCTCTGACCCTTCAATCTCAACACATTCATATCTATGGACAAGCCTCCAGTGCTTAAAATTGCATGTTTTTGAGCTGATAACATCAACAATGAAATCCATCAAAACCAATCAAAATATTGAAACTTATATATCTGTATATATAAGGAAAATAATTTTATGTATTAAAATGAGATATGTCTCCTTTTGAACTGCATCTATATTATATATATACAGACACAGAAACAAATGAAAAATAATTGAGTTAAAGAGTGCAGTGGAACACAATACGGTGGGATTTGAATAACGATTCCATGGTTTATAAATTTTCAGCTGAATCTTTAAAAGCTACAAAAACCCTTTTGCCAACAAATGCTACTAAATGTTGTATTGGTTTCTCCAGCTTTCTGAGGTGTATCAGATGGAAAACTGATTCTGCTAGTGGCTTTGTGATTTAACAAATGTTTGTAACAGTGTCTTTATGATTGAATGTAAAAACCAAAAGGCAAAAAAGGGTGAACGAAAATTTGAGGGTCTATTACCAATATATGGCAGTTTTGCAGCGTGAGCATGTTGTAACTGTAGAGCATAATCTGCCACAGAAGGAGCAAGCACAGTGTGCACTGTCTTGTCCACAGAATATGTAGTTGTTTCTGTCATCACTGATCTGCACGTGTTCTTTCAAATGATTGTCCTCACTGGAATTGTTATTGGATAACTTGTTTTCTAGCCAGAAAAGCAACCCTAGGAAGGGTAATATCACGAACACTATGATCATAAGAACACAATTTTGAGTCAAGGTTAGCCCATAAACATTCATCACGAATGTTTTATTGTCCAGTGTTGGATTATGTGCAGGAAAGTTAAGGGGAAAAGAGAGTTTAAATGATGCTTATATATAGTTCTTCCTCATATTTGAATAGTATTAAATTATTTATTTCTTTATTAATGTCGATATTGTCAGACATTAAGTTCGTGGAAATTCCATGTCTTCTTCCTTGATAGTTGCTATCATTATTTAAAGGGAAATTTAATATTAAAAAAATGGTTCAAGGGTAACTAGACGAGAATCAGTCAGCAGAAAATATTGAAAGCAATAACTATGGAATGAAAACCGTTGACCTAACTCATGTTTTGTTAACTCTCAATAGGTGCCTCTTATGAGGATGATTAGGGATGACTCAACTGGCTAATTTGGATTCATTATCTATTTAAATAAATTATTTTAATGATTTTTAAAGTACAATGGTTGAATAGCTTTTGAATTATATCAATTTTGCATGTAAAATAAAATAAAGAAGCAATCATCATATATATGTCAGATATTAATAAACTAAACTTATTAAACAGATTTGAATCTTCATGGGTTGCACATAAATATCTTTATGCTAATTGGTTTGAATTATTTCTACCAAATTCATCCAGATTTCCTTTATGAATAACTAAAGTTATATTATGTTAAGTAAACTCGTCCTTGCATTATATATCCAAATTCAACTTAATTTTAATGGAAAGTTTTCTTATTAAATTGCATTTGGATGACGTTTGATTTTTTAAATTTAATATAGAAATAAAGACAGGACAAAATATACATGTTTATTTCGTCTGCACATTAATATAGCAAAAGGTTTTTTATGTTAGTTATTTTTAGTTTTTTTTTTTACCTCAGCCTTAATTAAAATGTTATTATAAGACATAAATTTACGTCATATAAAAATACACAACATAAATTTAGGTGGATACTAGAATAGATTTAATGTAAATGGGTCAATTTATGTTGAACATTAGGTTGGACATAAAATAGTTTATCACCAATAAAAAAACTATAATGAAATGAATATTTTTTTAGTTAGTTTCAATTTAGTGTGTTGCATATTAAGTAAAGAATTTTTGTAAGTTGAAAACGGGTTTGTGAATAAAGAAATCAGACTTAAAATAGACATTGGACACAAATAAAAAAAATTGAATTGTATATATTTAAGGGTATTAGTACCTTTAGAATTTGGATACCCTTAAACTTGTTTAACTTAATATTTTTCACTAATCACTAGTACAAAAAGGACTTTAGACGTCTGGTATTTTGGGCTTTTAACGTCTGATCTCTGTCCGACGTCTATATGGAGACGTTAAACCCTTTATGTCAGACGTCTCTATAGATGTCAGATCTATATAGGTCAGACGTCTATATAGATGTAGACGTCAGACCTATATAGGTCAGACGTCTATAAAGACGTAGACGTCAAACCTATATAGGTCGGACGTCTATATAAATGTCTGATCCATACAGGTCACACGTCTCTGAAGTTGCTCCTAACTCATGGTGATTCGAGTTTACAACTTTATATTTTAGTTGAAGAGAATGTATTGTACATTGTTTTTATTGGATGGTTTTAAAAACATAGTGGAGGGAATTGAAGGAGTGCAAAACGCAAGCAATCGCCGCCAAAGAACGCTGCCCAAGGACATGAGAGTAACTGCACCAAACCCAACGAAAACACATTTTAATCGGTTCAAATGAAAGATAATGCATCAAAGAGTGATGTAATCGGAGTAAATATAATTTAAAATGGTGCAAAAGTAAGAAAACGAACCTGAAAAGCGTAACCCGTAGAGAGAAAACGCGACGAAGATGATGAACAATGAGTGCGCGTAACGGTTGTCTCCCATTCGCGGTGTTTTAATGCCGACATTTAGAAGTCAGTTCCCTCAATAACAGACATCTAAAGTTCTTTAGAAGTCGGAGTGGCGGGATCAGACGTCTAAATGGAGTCAAAAAGTGACTTTTTCAATTTCTCGGTTATGTATTTAGATGTCGGTTCCCCAAATAACAGATGTCTAAAGTGCTTTAGAAGTCAGAGTGGCGGATCAGACGTCTAAATGGAGTCAAAAAGTGAATTATTAAATTTCTGGGTTTTGGATTTAGACGTCGGTTCCCCAATAACAGACGTCTAAAGTGCTTTAGAAGTCGGAGTGGCGAGATCAGACATCTAAATGGAGTCAAAAAGTGACTTTTTAAATTTCTAGGTTGTGGATTTAGATGTCGGTTCCCCCAATAACAGACGTCTAAAGTGCTTTAGAAGTCGGAGTGGCGGGATCAGACGTTTAAATGGAGTTAGAAAGTGACTTTTTAAATTTCTGGGTGGTGTATTTAGATGTCGGTTGCCCCAATAACAGACATCTAAAGTACTTTAGAACTCGGAGTAGCGAGATCAGACGTGTAAATGGAGTCAAAAAGTGACTTTTAAAATTCTTGGGCTGCGCATTTAGACGTCGGTTTTCCCATAACAGACGTCTAAATAGAATAAAAAATTATTTTTTTTAACCTTTTCGTTTAGTTTTGCTGTCTATTTGGGGGAGCCGACATATATGAGTATTTGGACATCGGGCCCCTCCATAGTCGACGTTTAAATAGTTGTTTAATTTACGAAAAATGCCACCGGTCATTTTTTACGTTGGATATTCGAGGGCAGACGTCTAAAGAGTAACGTTAAAGGTCTTTTTTGCACTAGTGAATGTAACCTTTATCCTAAATTTGACTGTTGTATATATTATTTCTTTTTCAACTTTAACAAAAATCTCTTATATGATATGAAAACACCCTAAACTAAAACAGATTGAGAAATATTCATTTCATTCTATTTTTTTAGTAGAATTGAACAAGCATAATCAATTTTTATTATTATTTACAATTTTTACACAGTATTTAACTTTCAATCTTAAAATATTTAATGTATACTTTTTTATGTTGAATCTCTTATAATAACATGTTCTTTTGTAATTTTTATTTTCTTATACAAATGCAATTATTTAATATTTAAAATAATAATAGTAAATACATATGTAGGTACAAGTATAATCTAAAAATAAATTGGGTTAAATATATTGTCCACAAAGTTAGACACAATATTGGAATTTGATCATGTCCTAAACATTGATACATTTTTGTTTTCAAACTTTAAAAATAAATGGATATAACACTAGTACAAAAATCGCGTACAACGTCGAATATTTTGGGCTTTTAACGATGAAATCGCGAACAACGTTATATCAGGAGACGTTAAATTGACGTCGAATTTTCTCAATATACGATGTTAACATTAACGTCAAATCTTGTTAATATTCGACGTTAATCAATTTTTTTTAATTAATTGTGATCCTTTTTTACCACTCTACGAAACCTAAAAAACATAAAAACAACAAATTTTAGTTTTTAGTACTTTATAAAACATGAACTATGAACGTGTAATGTAGTATGAACAATAAACAATAATAACCAACAACAAACAAGTTCAATCAAACAACAACAAACAAGTTCAACAAAAAAAAATAAACAAGTTCAACACATAAGTTCTTCAAAACGAAAACGAAAACTAACCTTCAAAAGGTGGGTTCATCGGACTAAAGTTTCGTCACGAGTGAGAGAGAAAGCAGAAGAACAAGAGCACGAAAATAATCGGTTAAAACAAACAAAAATCATACATAAAGTAGTTAATTAACATGCATTTGTATCAAATGAAAAAAAAGATTACATATGATGTTCGTCAAACTTCGTTCGAGAAAAGTTTGAGAAGAGAAGAGAGTATCGCGCACAAAAATAAAGTGAATGAATTTTCAATCTCCCGCTCAAATTTTTATTAATTCACTAACCTTTTGACGTCGAATTTAAAGGGCATTCGACATTTTATATCCTTTTACATCGAATTACAGTTCTAAACGACGTTTAATAATTTCATTTATTTACAAAAATTTCACCGCTCATTTTTAACGTTGGTTATTCAGTGGTTGAACGTTGAACGCGTGACGTTATACGCTGTTTTTTTACTAGTGTAAAGTCCTTTTAACTCACACTACAAAAAAAAGAGGTATTAACGATGACCAAACTCCATTGCAAAGGTAAAAAAACTATAGGTAACAACTTTTTTTAATGGATTTCCAATGGACCCAAATTCGTGAGTAAAAGTGTAGTTGATAACATTTACCAATGGAAAACTATATTCATCGATAATTATCAAAGAAAAAAATTTCTATAAAAAAAAATTATTAGTAATTATCGTTAAATACAGCTTGCAACTCAACCAATCTGGAAGCTCAACTAGTATGACAGCTCGACTAGTTAGTAGCTTGGGTAGTTGGAAGATTGGCTAGTTTGGCAGCTCGTCTAGTCTAAATACTCAACCAGTCTACAACTCGACCAATCTGGAAACTCGACCATTGTGGCAACTAGACCATTCTTGCAAGTCGACTAGTATGGTAGGTCGGCTAGTCGACAAAAATATTTTATCACTTCTCTTGTCATCTTCTGCTTGCAAAAGTCTTGTATAACTTTGAACATTGGGTGAGGACCTTTGGCCTTCATAATTTCAAATAACTTGATGGCATTAGACTTCTTACACTTCAACACCCCTTAAAGCATAACATTATGCGCAACAATATTTGTCTTAAATCACCCATCAATCATCTCATTCCATACTCCCTACAAGTTTGCAAATTGGGTGTAAAATCTATCTCTTAATTTCATAAAAACATCTTGCGCTTTATCAAGTTTTGTAGCGCCCAAAATTTCAAGCAAGAAATTAATCACATAAATGCCTACTTTAAACCCATGCTTCTTCACAATGTTCCTCAGAATTGGCATCACTAGCAAATGTTCGACTATTGTTCAAAAACAAAAACTCTTCATGATGAACAAGGTAAACTAGTAAGGGGTAAGGCGAAAAAAGAGCACAAATAGGGAATCAACAACTCTTTTTGGAATTTGACAAGGAGAATGATGGAATGTGCAATTAGGACAAAGGAAACGAGACAAGGGTAGAGAGCTACCACAAGGTAAAAGCACACTTGCT